TTTCCACTGGTCCCTAGAACAACAAACCGCTTTCGATATTCTAAAAGAAAAATTAATCACTGCTCCGCTGCTCCAATACCCAGACTTCTCTCAGCCCTTCATAGTAACCACAGACGCAAGTAATTACGCCGTGGGTGCAGTTCTATCCCAAGGTCCTGTCGGCAAGGATAAACCAATAGCTTACGCATCGCGCACCTTAAATCGTGCCGAAGGTAATTATTCAACTACCGAAAAAGAACTCCTAGCCATTTTATTCGCAGTTAAAACATTTCGCCCTTACCTCTACGGTAATAAATTTAAAATTGTCACCGACCACAGACCACTAGTATGGTTATTTAATGTCAAAGACCCAGGCAGTAGACTCATTCGTTGGCGCCTAAAACTCGAAGAATATGACTACGAAATCATTTATAAACAAGGCCGTTTAAACTCCAATGCTGATGCATTATCTCGCTGTCCCGTTAATGTTATAGACATTAACACCTTAAATAACTCTAGTTATGAAAAATATTTTAAGGATCAATTCTCCAATAAAACTCCTATTTCAAATACAGTAATTATAGAATGCACTGAAGGATTACATTTGTCTAAGTTAAAACATATCGCGTGTCCGGTCTCTTTAGATTTCGATTCATCTATACCTCACTGTGAAGAAATATTATCGCAGTTAGATAAGCCGGAGGAATTGCTGAATTCCGAACGCGAACCTTTTACAATTCAATGTGTTAAAGATAAGAATAAATACTTCTATTTTTTATATACCAAAGTTCACCATTATGAAGAAACCAAATTTAAAGACATCTACAATTTAATGATAAAACTTAGAGATAAAATTTTAGTCGAAAATCCCGATATCACAGATCTCGCCTTGTCAGACTTTTCAGACCCATTTTCTAAGTTAGGTTATATTAAGGTATATAATATGATTGCCTATATTTTCCATAGCACAAATATTAAAATTCATATTTATAAAAATCGGTTAATTTACCCTACTCCCATCGAAATCCCTAAAATTTTAAAAGAGAATCACGATTCACCTATTGCGGGTCACCCAGGATCAAATCGTATGTATAAAAGAATTAAAGCCGCCTACTACTGGAAGGGTATGCGCTCTGATATTGTAGATTACGTTAAGAAATGCCAATTATGCCAAATTAATAAGCCGCTGAGAATGTCCAATAAGGCTCCAATGGAGATAACTTCCACTTCTACTAGACCTTTTGAACGATTAGCTCTCGACATCGTTGGTCCTTTGCCCGACGCAGATTTCCAAAAAATTCAAATTTATCCTTACATTGCAAGACGATTTAACTAAATTTTCAAGCGCTTATCCCCTGGTCACAGCTACCAGTGAAGAAATAGCCAGAAATCTCGTACATTTTATGTCTCTTTTCGGTTTTCCTAAAACGATCTTAACAGATTTGGGTACATGTTTCACGTCCGATTTATTTAAACAACTGACTCAAATTCTAAAAGTTAAAACCTTATTTACCACTCCTTATCACCCACAAACAAATGGAGCCCTAGAACGCTCACATGCTACTTTAAAAGAATACCTAAAATCTTTCGTAGACGAAAACCAGAATGATTGGCATTGTTATCTATTTACCGCAATATTAGCTTATAATACCACTCCACATTGCACCACTAATTTCACCCCTCATGAATTATTATATGGTTATAAACCTAACATTCCAAATTCCCTATATGAAACAAATAATAATACAACCTATAATGAATATATTCGAGCTTTACAATATCGAATGCGTTTTAGTAGAGAAAAGGCCATTCAAAATATAGTTAATAGCAAAGAAAAATCGAAACAATATTATGACGCTAGTTCACGTGAAACTTCTTATAAAATTGGCGACTTAGTGTATATAAAACATCATCACCGGCTCCGTAAGGCTCTATCACCTATATGGAAGGGCCCATATAAAATTATAAAAATAAATAATAAGCATAACGTAACGTTACAAATAGGTCGTAAACATGTTAAGTACCATACAAACGAAATTAAGCCTGCTATTCAAACTCCCTAAATTTAATTAACTTTGTATATTTTTTCAGAGCTTTATGCTATGGAAACCAAAGCCACGCTGAATCGAGGATCATACCTATATCACATAGTCCTGGAATTTATTTTGAACCTATTACGCATATTAATTTTTATAACGATTATTGGAAAGTCATAACATATATAGACCTTATATCCTTAGATCCTTATCTCAATAAAATAGAAAATTTATTATATGATACTTTAAACCTTTGTTCCAAAATAAATACTGACGAATTTTCCCCGTGTAAAGATTTTTCTACTCCTATAGAGACTTTAATAAAATATAATTACGTCAAATTGCAATCTCTAGCACATTTAATCAATAATAACCCATCGCCAAACAAAGTCAAAAGATCTTTGGAATTTGGAGGCGAAATTCTTAAATTTTTCTTTGGTACTCTAGACGCAGATGATGCGCGAAAATATGATGCCGCGATAGAATCCTGTCGGAAAAGTGAAACGGAACTATTTAATCTATTCAGAGATAATATTCATATAATTAAATCCACTATAAATAATTTTAATGCCACTATTTATAAATTAAATCGAAACGAATTAAAATTGAATTCCCAAATTAATAAAATGAATGAAATTTTGTCACAAATTACAAAAACCGATAACTTACTACTTCACATTTCTAGGATAAATAATTTACTAAACGTAATTGAAGGCTCCTTACTTGCTATTTCTAACTTACTAGACACAACTATAAATGCTATTTTATTTTCCAAGGTAAATGTTTTGCATCCTAGCGTGATTAGCCCTTTAAGTCTTTATAATGAATTAACTAAGCATATTAATCAATTAAACAAACGTTTAGATTTTCCAATGCAATTGAACATACATAATATTCATTCTTTGATTGACATCTCGAAACTTAGTTCATATTATTATAACAATAAGATTGTTTTCAGTTTGCAAATTCCACTGATAACACCTGATAAATTCACTGTTTATAAAAATATCCCATTACCGACTCCTCACGACGAGTCACATAATATGCAAACTTTTGCACTTATTCAACCTTCTAATTCTTATATTGCTTTAAGTGACGATAGAATACATTATACTATGTTTAATAACTTAGATGATTGTAATTTCATTAATAATAACTACTCTATTTGTGAACTATTAACTATAACGTCTAGTGTAAATAATCCTAATTGTGAATTACTAACAGAAGTAATTCTTTCCCTACCTTCTGAGTGTAACGCCAAGTTATTATTTGGCCAAATCAATATTTGGCATAAATTAAAAAATAATAGATGGATCTATGTACAATCTAATGTAAACAAATTAACTATCAAATGTGATGACGACATTACTGATCATTCTATTATTGGCACAGGTATTGTCAAATTAACCGAAAATTGTATTGGTTATTCCAAAACTATTCAATTATTGCCAACAAGTACTTACCAATTTTCGATCAAATCAACAATAGATATAAGCTTTGATATAACGAAAGATGATTGTTGCAAAAAGGACATATTTAATAAAAGTTTACCATATTTAACGCCAATCTCTTTAAGCAAAGTTAACTTGGATTCTTTAAAATATGCAAATCATCAACTGGATAGTTTAGAGTTTGAATTAAATAATCTTCAAAAAGAATCACATTTTATTAAATATGGCTCATACTATTCAACATTTACTTATGTTTTAATTGTACTACTATTTTTATACCTTGCCTATAAATTATTTAAATGCTGCAGAAATCGTCACGATAGCAGTGGATATTGTATACAAATATTTAATCAATGTAATAATAAAAAGTCATCGAAACATAACTCCAAAATTTCAAATTCAATTGAGATGACCGATAAATCGACATCTGAAGAAGATAATATCTCGCTTAAATCTTTACCAAATTGTACTAATTATAAGCCTTATAAAACTGTAGACAAAGTTCATTCTTCCTCTCGAAGAAATCTTAATTTCTAATTTTATTCAATTTTAGTTTTAAAATTTTGTATTAATACAAATAATCGATTTTATTATCATATAATCTTAATTTCTACTCTGTCACTTTATATTTTGTAATTGCTATATTTTACTATTTTAAATGCAATCTATGTAATTGTAATTGAAATTACTACCTTGTTTAATACAAGTAAATTCTAATTTTACTATTTCATTCAAAATACTTTTAATTTTAGATTTAAATAATTCATTTTTGTATAATTTTATTCCTTAATTTTAAATTGATTATTTTTTGAATTCTACTCTGTCTCTTTTGTATAACTTAGTTAACGAATAATACTATTGTATCTTTATGTAAAATTTAGTTCGAAAGTTTTTACATTGTTATGAGATTGATTTGCAATATTTTACCACAAATTTTAATTTCCTATTTTCATAATTTGTAATGTCTTCCGACCTCTAATCGCTTTTCTATTACGAATCTTCGCTTTATCTTAATTTAGAAAAAGCTCAGTCAAAAAGGGGGAGCTGTTATATCCCTTTTTACAAGACAACAAAATATTAGTAAGCATTTATTTAATCACACGGTACTTCTCCTTAATATAGCTATAGTCAGCAATTATATTGTTATATATTGTTTCTTTCCATTTTTAAAGTTCAGTTAGACTCAGAGCCCCGGGTAGATCGGACATAGATTCCGAGACTTATTAGAGTTCGGAAGTCAAGGACTATATTAATTTGGTGTGAACTTTTTTTTTTGCAATAAACCTTTAGGTTTATTTGGTGTTTCTTTTTTTTAAAAAGTCAAACGGGATCGGCCTCCTAACAATACGCAATGTGGGTCCCAAAAGAAGTGTAAAGGTCTTCTTCCTTGGATAAATATTGTACACTGTGCTTGAGTAATCCCACTGCTTCTGTTAATGTGGCAGTGTCATCGTTATTACGGCGCCTTTTAGTTCTGAATAATGTGTTGTGCTGTTGTTGTGTGGATGAGGCAGAATTCCTTGGTGTTTGTTGTATGGACGATGAAGAATTACTGGGCGCTTGTTGTGTAGATGATGATGCACTACTGGGTGCTTGTTGTGTGGATGAAGTCAAATCACTAGGTACTTGTTGTGTGGATGAGGCAGAATTCCTTGGTGTTTGTTGTATGGACGATGAAGAATTACTGGGTGCTTATTGTATGGATGATGATGCATTACTGGGCGCTTGTTGTGTAGATGAAGTCAAATCACTAGGTACTTGTTGTGTGGTTGAGGCAGAATCACTGGCTAATTATTCATCATTTGATATAGATTCATTCACATTCTGTGTGTTGTTGCTGGTAGTTATCTGAAAAATAAAATAAGAAAAACGTTAACTTAGATGAAATAATTTGTTACAGCTACCCGATACTGAAAATCAATGGATGGCCGTTGCAAAAGAATTTGAAGAAAAGTGGAACTTCCCTCATGCAATAGGCGCAATGGACGGCAAACATGTTTGCCTTCAAGCACCATTAAATAGTGGAACGGAATTTCACAACTATAAACAATATTCTAGCATTGTATTGTTAGCATTAGTTGACGCTGACTACAATTTTATGTACGTAAATGTTGGATGTCAAGGACGCATATCAGATGGAGGTGTTTTTAAAAACACTTCCTTGTACAGGAACCTTGAAAACAAAAGCCTAAATTTACCGAATTCTGAAATATTACAAACTCCTACATTGTAATGTGAAGGTACCGTATATAATTCTGTGTGATAAAGCATTTGCCCTCAGTGAATATACCATGAAACCCTTTTCGGGTAATCCAGAAAGAGGATCTATTGAAAGAATATTCAATTATCGTCTATCAAGAGCAAGGAGGGTAGTTGAGAATGCATTTGGAATACTGAGTTCGGTGTTTCGAGTACTACGAAAACCAATGCTTTTGGAACCGGAAAAAGCTACAAAAATTGTATTGGCAACTGTTTATTTACACAATTTTTTACGAAAAAGCAGACTATCAAATATTTACGCACAGACCAATGCATTTGATTCTGAACAGCGAGGAGAGCTTGTTCCAGGTGCATGGCGACAAGACCAACAACAATTAACTTCTTTTTTTCCTTTAGACAGTGTACCTAGGAGGTCGCCCAATACTCCTACTCATATACGTTTACATCTGGCGGAACACTTTGTTAATAATGTCCCCCTTGAGTAGCAAAGTAATCACTAAGTTTTAATGTAACATATATATTAAATAGAACGTGTACTACTTACACGGATTAACGTAGACTACAATATGTATAATAAAATTGAAAAAGTCTCATAAAGCAGCTGGTCCATTTTCTCAGACACCAGTATAAATATAATAACGTTAATAACTAATCGTAATTACTTACAGTAGTCTCCGTTGTTGGTAGAGGTTTGTCCTTATCATTAAGAAAGGTAAAATATTCAGATGCAAACCACTTCGATATATATACATCATTAGCTCCTGTAAAAAAAAAGATAGAAAAGTATATAGGCTATTATAAATATGTCAATTTACAATGCGACAATAAAATGCGTAAATTTAAATTTAAAAACTTACCTGATCCTGTTACTAAACTTTTTTGATTTTGCTCCTTTCTTTTCTATTAGTTGCTAATAAAGTTGTCATCTTTTTTTTTAATTCACCTATTGGAATTTTCAGTTCATTTGTAATTGCCTTCCATGCATCTTGGCGTAAATCGTTATTTCGATAATCAGTTAGTGCGCTATCCCACAATACTCGGTGAAATTCATAAAGTTGAATCAATCTGATAATATTTTCATTATTGAAACTTGAAGAACACGCGTGTTTATTCATTTTGCCGTCCAAATATAGCGTAGTCGGCCGCGTGCGTCCTCTTTGACGCTCGACCAAAAACCGACTGACGATGGCTCGCGCTGCGAGTTGGCTCGCGCGGTACGCGTACCCTAAGAGTGAACGCGTAGCTGCAGGTATGGACTAGGCGTTCCGAATACGTGTAAACTGAGTACGCGTACCAGGGTACGCGCAATCCGTACGCACCTTTACGCGTACGCAGACGCCTGGATACGCTACGGTGTGGTAGTTTGGGGTATAGTTCATTTCAAATAGCATGGCAGGATTGTACTTGAAGCGGTCATTAGGCGATAACAAAAGAAGTGGTATTTACAACCGATACCTGGGAAGACCTTATCCTGACGTGGTATTTTTGTGGCAGCAAACAAGTTTTGATGCTTTTGTTAAATACACGATGACATTGTTGTCAAAAATTCAGTCGTCTTGTAACTTCGTTATTACACAGACGTACAAATAAACATGTTTCGACCGTGGAAAATATCAAATAGTGCATCTACAAGTGATGAAAATAGTGTTCAGCGTAGAAAAAGACATTTAAGTTCAGACGCTCAAGACATAGTTTTGAGTGTTTACAATAAGCTTTTGAAACGCATGGGTGATAAGGGAGTGATTAAAGAGACATCGGAATTAACAAACGTGCCTATAAGAACTGTTTGTAGAATAGTGTCAGCAGGATCTAATCATCTTCCTCGTAAACGGACCAAGATAAGTTTTAAAATAATTGATAATTTTACAGAGGATGTGAGGAGGACTATTTACAATTTTTACCTCAACAATGAGATTCCAACGTTACGTGAGATTTATCAATCATTGATGAGAAGTGAAGCTGGTTTTGAATATTCAGAAACTACACTCTGGAGACTATTAAAAAAACTTGGATTCAAGTATGGAAAATTAGATGAAAGAAGAACTGTAATGGAAAGTCCCCGACTTTTATTACTAAGGGAAAAAATTTATTAATGAAATACGTTTACGAAGGTCGGCAGGAAAAAATATAATATATTTAGACGAAACATGGTTTGACACTCACGATACCCTAAAAAAAAGGGTACACAGACAATTCACCAAGTTGTACAACTAAAGCTCCATGTTCTAGGGGTAAACGTTTAATAATATTACACGCAGGCGGTGAACAGGGCTGGATAACAGGGGCTTTACTGATCTCTAGCAAACATTTGAAAAGCTCTAGTGCAGACTACCATGAAGATATGGATTCTGGATTATTCGAGAAATGGTTCACTGATCAGCTTTTACCTAATATTCCCAGTAGCAGTGCGATTGTTATGGATAACGCATCATACCACAGCCGACAAATAGAAAAAATTCCCAACACAAACACTAGGAAAAGTGACATAATAAGTTTTTTAAGACGTCATAACATTTCTGTGCCAGAGAAATCAACAATTAAAAGTTTGTTGTAAGTAGTCAAAACAATTATTTTGCAAAAAAAAAATATGTGGTCGATGAATTATTATTATTATTCCCCTATTGTAGGCGTAACGTTTGACTTACGGACAGTTTTTTTTATTTGACTCCACATTAACTCAATTGGGTTCAATAATAAGGTGGGAATAAGGTGGGAGTCTCATTATCTCATGACCAGCCTCTTGTGCTAATTCATTTCACTAATAAGCACAGGTTGCTGTTTTTAAGTCGGTGGTTTTTTTAAGTTCTATAAGAGCGAATGTAAAACTAGATAATTTTTTGACAATTTTATTAATGTGTTCCTTCCAATTTAAATGTGCATCTATATTTATACCCAGGAGACAGTGAGAGTTAACAGATTCTAAGGGAATATTTAGGTATTGGTAGTTGATAAGTAAGGGGCGTTTTTGGTATGGTCTAAATTGCAAAAGTTTAGTCTTTTTGAAATTAATTTCGAGGTTGTGATCTTGGAGCCAGCAATTTATTACATTTAAATTAGAGGTTAGGAGATGGTGTAAATCTGTGCCCAATGGGACAGGGAAGAATTAATGAAATATCATCAGCAAAAAGAACACAGGGGATATTACATATATTCGGAAGGTCATTCACATATATTAAAAACAGCAAACAGCCCAACACGCTACCCTGAGGTATAGATTGTTTTAAGAAATTTTTTTTAGACTTTACAGTTTCAATAATTCTGGTTTGTGGGTCTCTGTAGCCTATATCTACATACTGGACGCATTGATTAAGGTAAGATACAAACCATTCGTAGGCCAGACCTCTCACACCCACATTATAAAGTTTATTTAATAGGATCGAGTGAGAAACCCTATCGTATGCCTTGCTCATATCTAAGAATATACCAATAGCGTGTTGTTTCTTGTCAATTATCTTTAATACTTCCCTTATGTATTTATATACTGCGAGTGCTGTAGAGTGACCCTTTCGAAAGCCATATTGTCCGTCATTTAATATATTATACTTGAGCTCATTAGGAGAAATGAAATAGGGGCGGGTTAACTAACAAACAAAGGGGCTCAAGTAGGAATCTAATTTAAAAGGAAATAAAACCACTTACCGTCCGTCATTTAATATATTATATTTTTCACAAAAGGTATAGAGTCTGTTATACATGACTGTCTCAAATATTTTGGAAAATGTTGAGAGAAGTGCTATTGGATGATAATTATTGCAATTTTCGGGGTTGTCTTTTTTTGTAGTAGCGGTTTCACTATTGCTATTTTTATTAAGTCTGGGACAGTTCCTTGCGACAGTGATTGGTTAATAAGAAGGGAAAGTGGTGAGGCAAGTTCATCGGCACAAGTCTTTATTAAGGTTGGTGGTATTTCATCAAATCCATAGCTTCTTTTATTTTTTAGGTTTTTTATGATATTAAATACTTCTATTGGGTTAGTTGGCTCGATAAATATAGAGTTATTGATAGTGGTGGCGGCAGACTGAGCTTGTGAGCGAGAATCGTTCGCGGGAACCCCCATTGAGGTGAAGAAAGTTTTCAAATGGTTTGCAATTGTTATGGGATCTTCAGTAAGCATATTATTTATTTTAAATTTTAAATTATTTTTAGGTTTCTTTTTTGTTTTATTTGTACGCTCCTTCACTATTTGCCACATTGTTATGATTACATTATTTGAATTTTTTACTCTATTTTTATATTCTATTTTTTTTTGCAGTGGCTACTGTTTTCTTCAATATTTTTTCGTATTGTTTGTAATAACTTTTTAAGATTTTATTGTTAGTTTGTGATACAAACATTTTTAGTAAGCTTTTATTTTTACAAGATATTTTTAGACCGTTGGTAAGCCAAGTGTTATGTTTTTTATTCTTCAATAGTATTCGTTTTTTAGGTATATTGTTATCTAGAATGGATTGAATTTTTTTATGGAATGAATTAAAGTTAGTGTTTATGTTTTTACTCTCCGAAATTATATCTTTCCAATCAGTTTTCTTAAGTTCAGTTTTAAATGTTTCAATATTTTTTGAATGAAAAATTCTCTTTTTCATGGGCCAATTTTTTGTATTTTCAGTTTGTACATTATTAAAAATAAAAAAA